GCAACTGTGGGTTATTGTGCTGAACTGAAAAGTCAATTTGAAATAAAAGGTCAACGATTCACTCCTCAGAAACCCTACACAGGATTGCTTGAGTCAGAGCCAACTCAACAGCACTTTACAAACACAATTCTGCTAGACGGAGACCTGGTGTGGTGCTGTAGGATAAACACGGATTGCTAACTACCAGGTCAGTGGTTCAAACCCACCAGCTGCTCCTTGGAAACCCTTTATAGTGGTGTTATGAGTCAGAAATGACTTGACAGCACTTAACAACAACATGTCCATTTTACAGATGCAGAATCCAAGGCACAGATAAGTTAAATTGGTTAAAGTAACAAGCTGATAATTTGTGGAACCTTGGGTCTGAGCCATTGAAGAATAAGAGTTTGAACTTGTACTCCAGTGTTGAAGTCATTCATTGCTTATGGGGCCTGTAGGACCTGCTTATGATGGAATCAAGTTGAAATTGACAGTATTTTAAAAATCTGTTCTAACATGATTTCCATGGTACAAATCTAGGCATCCCTTCCAGTTGGAAAAAAACAAAACAAAACAAAAAACTCAATCGGAGGTTTATCCTAGTGAAGTCTTACATTGATGTGGTTTGGCTTCTTAGCCCAAGAAGCATTTACAAATCACTCACTTGATCAAGGTATTAGTGTAAATCTGCTCATGGAATCCTGTTTACAAGATACATTCTACAGACAAAGCTTTATTCGTAGACAAAATGACAGTTAAAGATTCAACTGGCTAGAAGAGTAGACAAAATGACAGTTAAAGATTCAACTGGCTAGAAGAGTTATGCTCTTGAGTGTGAGGCCATATTAGAGGTTTTCATAATGGTTTTGCTCTAATTCTATACCAATAATAGAGGAATCTGTGATCATTCAGCACTGCCTGCTTTTACATTGCCATTACATTTAGTGCTTTGATCAAAAGTGCTTGAGCAGTGAATATCTTTGCTGCCAGAAAATTAAATCAAGTTTTAACTCAATTGCTACCCCAATAAAGCAAAATATTCCAAGAGTAAAGGGCTGATTCATGACCTACAAAGTTAACATCCCTTTCCAGAGTGGTGCAAAAGTTCACAAAGAACAGAGAGCTGAATCACTGATGGCCTGGAAAGTGACATTTTTATCCAGGGATTTTTCATTTATTCTTTGTGAGGCAGAGGTTATATGAACACCAGCTGTCAATCACACACCACCAGTGGATTTGCAAGATTATAGGACTGGGAGAAAAATGAAGGTTAAGCTCAGGGTACAATAGAGATTACTTATGGTAATGAATTGTATAGCTTTTTTTTTTTAACCAGCATTGGATTAGCGTTCATTTTGAAAAAGGATTACAATATGTCTGATTCTTGCAGTAAACAGATATTAAGAAGATTATTATGTCCAACCTAGGAAACAAGAGTCCTAAAGAATATATGATAAATCAAGGGCGGAAATTAACTTGTGCACTCACTGTGCACATGAGATACAGTGGGGTTTTAGAAGAGAGCAAGGATGGTGTGCTCAGTGGGATGGGAGTTTTTCCTCCCAGTGGAACCTCAAAGAGCCATTCAGGGTCTCAGTTGTCACATGTCTGGCAACTGTACCGCAAACTGTGAAGAGTACCTCTCGGAACTCTGCCTCCCTTATTAGCTTGCTGCCACACTCTGGTGGAAGTAATGGCATGTCCTCCAGTGATGCTATGTGTCCATCTCCTGTACAATTACAGTATCTGACCTCAGGATCTACCCTTCTTTTTTGTTTTTTAAGCTTTAATTAGGAATTGAGTGGTAGTTTACATGGCAGAACATAGGCTCTGCACTCAACAAATCGTATGTTGTTTCATTGCATTGATTACCATCCCCTCCATGCACCATTAGTTAAGATCATTTGCTTCTGTTCCCTCTTTTTTTTTTTTTTTCATATACATAAAACACTCAGAAATATATATTCATGTAAACAACCAAAGGGCACATTTTGCAAGCCTGCCTCCTGACCACCAGCACACAGTCTTTCTCTTTCCATGGCTCAGAGTCCTCAGCTGCGCTATCTCTCCATGTCATCATCTCTACCTCCATCTGTGGTGTCCCTGCTTCTCTGGGTAGGATCCCATGCTCTGCTCATGCTCTTCCCTCTTGATGGTCCTAGGGTCCTCTATTCCTGGCATGTAAGATTAACTACTCCCCTCTTTTTGTTACAAAACTTCTACCTTTACAGTTGTGACAGTCGCAATTAGTCATGATAACAATTACTCACTATTGAATCAAAAGAATCCTATCCCAAACCCCTTTCACCAGACCCAGCTAGACAAGATGAAAACTCTTCAGTGGGGATTCTACCCTCTCGTCTTTGCTCTGAAACTAAGCACACTTTTGAAAACTTGTAAGTCAGCCACTCTGTGCCTTTGTAGTCACCACCCCCACCCCCATTTAGGTACCCAATGTCTAAGTTGCCCATCCCTGTCAACCCTACGTACTGGGGGAATAGGCTTGATCCTTGATGTGAAGACTCCTTCCCTCTCAGTTGGCATTTTGAGCACCCACATCCCTAAGCAAAGGTCAGGTTCATCAAATTGTAGCAATTTACACTTGCTTTCTGTATCAAACTTTTTAATCTTAATCTAGTCAAGTTCTAATCAGTAAGGCATCCAAGCTAGGTCACATGGGTACTGACTGCAAGTTTGGATGTCCTTGTGTGCCCCCCCCACACACACACACACATTTCATGTCACCTGGCCTCTTCACTCTCAGTTCTAGCCCCCAGTGGCTAGATAAGTGTCCATGGCTCAGGAGTTCCCAAGACTCCCAAAATCTCAAATCACCCAGCATTTATTGTCTTCTGCTTTTTTGAACTTTGCTGTGTTTGCTGGTATGAAATGACATCTCATTATTGATTTGATTTGCATCTCTCTAATGGCTAATGATATTGAATATTTCTTTATATGTTTATTGACTGTCCTAATGTCTTCCTTGGTGAAGTCTGTTCATGTCCTGTGCCCATTTTTAAAATTGGGTTATTTATCTTTTTCTTGTAGAGGTGTTATAGTTTCCTATAGTTTTAAAAATTAGTCCTTTGTCTGATATGTTGTTGCAAAAATTTTTTTCTTATTCTGTGGGCTCCCTTTTTACTCTTTTGGTGAAATTTTTTGCTGCACATAGGTTTCTAAATTTTAGTATATCCAAATCATCTATTTAGTCATCTTCTGTTTGCAGTTTTTGCAATGTTAGATAGTCTATGTGTGCCCTGTATTAGAGCCATTAAATTTGTCCCTATTTTTTCACTGATGAGCTTTATAGCTCTGGGATTTACATTTAATTCTGTAATACATGCTGAGTTAGGTTTTGTATATGGTGTGAGATAAAGACCTTGTTTCAACATTTTGCATATTGATTTCCAGTTTTGCCTGAACCATATGTTGAAGAGACTGTCTCCTCCCCATTCAATGTATTTTGGCCCTTTGTCAAAGATCAATTGGCTGTATGTGGATAGGTTAACTTCTGCGTTCTCAATTCTGTTCCACTGATCTATGGATCTTTCACTGTACTAGTACCAGTACTTTTATGACCATTGTAGCCATGTAATAAATTTGAAATCAGGGAGTGAGAGCCCTCCAATTTTTTCTTTCTTTCTTTCTTTCTTTCTTCTTAAGCAGTGCTTTGCTTATCTGAGAACTCTTTCCTTTCCATATAAAATTTGTAAATTTTTTTTTTCCATCTCTTTAAAGAATATTGTTGGAATCTGGATAGGGATTGCAATATATATGTAGATTACTTTGGATAGTATTGACATTTTCACAATGTTAAGTTTTCCTATCCAGGAACATGGTATATTCTTCCATTTTTGTAAATCTCTTTTGGTTTCTTGTAGTAGTGTTTTGTAGTTTTCTTTTTATAATTTCCTAATTTCAGAGCTGTCATTATGAGAGGAATCTTACTGATTTTTGTATGTTGATCTTATACCCTGCCACTTTCCTGAATCTTCCAATGAGGTCTAGTAAGGTTGTTTTTTTTTTTTCTGAGTCTTTGGGGTGTTCTATGTATGGGATTATATCATCTGCAAATAGAGTTTTACATCCTCTTTGCCAGTTTGGATACCTTTAATTTCCCTGTCTTGCCTTATAGCTCTAGCTAAGACTTCCAGCACAATATTGAATAGGAGTGGTGACAAAGGGCATCCTTGTCTGGTTCCTGTTCACAAAGGGAAAACTTTGAGTGTCTGTCCTTTGAGAGTGATGTTCTGCCCTTAATTTGGGGAGTGCTGCTGGAATGTGTGCTACTGCCCCTCAAGGGGAAGCTCAGACTGTTCTTCTACTCACCCACCTTAGGAAGCTGGAGCTCATTTTTAGAATCAGCTTTTGATTCCTTGATATTCATTGATATCACCTACTGATGATGGTGAGATCTGTTGTGCAGATGTTTATGTTGGTCCTCTGGGCTTCCATGATACCTCCTCAGCTACATCTTTGGACATGTTCTTACCTTTCATCCACAAATGAAGTGACTCCAGTTGATTACAATTCCTGTCTGGTGTCCAGGAAAAACATGGGTGGTGCTTCTTCCGTGACTCTTACTGAAGTTGCAATAAACCAAGACAGCCATCCACACCACCCACTCCTCAGTAGCTTTGAGATCACCCTTTCACAGCCTGTAATGGCCTTTGAGGCCAGGATGGCCAAACTTCATCTCTTATACTTTGGACATATTGTCAGGAGGGACCAGTCACTGGAGAAGATATCATGTTTGGTAAGGTGGAGGGTCAGAGAAAAAGAAGAAGACCCCCAGAGAGATGGATTGGCAAAGTGGCAGCATCAATTATCTCAAGCGTGGCAACAATTAAGAGGCTGGACCAGGATCGGGCAGTGTTTCGTTCTGTTGTGCTTAGGGTTGCTATGAGTCGGTACCGACTCAATGGCACCTAACAACAACAACAACAACAACAACAATGAGCTTCCTCTCCCTAATATCCTGACAGGCATACCAATTTTCAACTACAAAGTGTTGTGGTAACATGTGCAGGTACCATTTCTTCCCCATTGAATCCAAGAAAGAGTGAGGGAATAGAAAGTATTTAAAGAATGCAGTCCTGCCCTCCTGTATTGCTGCAGGAATTATAAAATGGTGCAGCCGCTGTAGAAAATAATTGATCAGTTCCTCAGAAAGTTGAAAGTAGAATTACCAGCAATACCACTCATGCAGATGGGATAGAAATTTGGAATTATTTGTAATATTTACTTAAATCCCTTCTGGGATAAAATACCTTCACTTTTTTTGTTGTTTGTTCGTTTACTTTAAATCAGAGTCCACCAAATAAATGACGAGGAAGAAATTTTGAAATTTTGAAGTGTAGTTTTGTTGGGATTGTAGGTCAAATAGAAGGAAGCTTGTTTGTTTGTTATTGTTTTAGTCCATGTTTTAAAAAAAATGCCAAATTATTAGAAAATTTAACAAATAATCTTATTTATTTGTAGTTTGAGGGGAAAAGTCATTAAACATACTATATTAAAAGGTCCCATGAAACCCATTGTCATCAAGTGAAATTTGGACTTATCACAACCCTAATGGACAAAGTAGAACTGTCCCATAGGGTTTCCAAGATTGTAGGTCTTTATGGAAGCTGGCTGTCACATCTTATTAACACTGAGCAGCTGGTAGATTCTAATAGCTGATCTTTTGGCTCAAAGCTTAGCCACTGACCCACCAGGGTTCCTTTATTAAAACATACATCATGATAAATAGTGTTGATGTTTTTGTTATTTTCAAGAGCATAAAAACCTTTTTCCAGATTATTTATTTTCCCTCTTCTTATTATGTAATTCCTGTTTAATTGGCACCTGGTGTGGTGCAGCAGTGCGGGTTAATACATCACTGGACTGCAAAGTGGATGTGAACCACGAGGTTGGTGGTTCAAGCTCACTAGTTGCTCCTTAGAAACCCTGTACAGGATCGCTATGGGTCGGAACCAACTCAACAGCACTTAACAACAACAACAAAACAATAGAAGGCTTTATTTTGTTCATTGAACTACTCAGCATCTAATACCCAACACACAGCGACATACACACACTATTTACTGTCAATTCAGAGAGCAGCTTTGAGTTCTTTACTAGATCCATAGGGTGACTGATGGTGTTTCCTAAATGGGAAAAGTGTAGCTATGGGACACAAGGGCTGTGCACAACCTGCCATTAAGTAGCTTCTTGACTTCAGGAAAATGTGTTGACCTCCCTGACTAAGATTCCTTCCTTACCTATAAAATTGCAGATTGAACTACAGTTGCCAAACTGCTATCTAGTTATAAATTCTGTGATTAATCAACTCAGTCTATTTTTCTTAAATAAGAATGAATAGTTGGCTATAACTTTTACATCTCAAAGAACACACCCTTCCATTTATTTTAAGTATTCATAAGTGGTTCAAGTAATTTCAAACCCCATAATGTATCATCATTTACAAGGATAAGTCAAAAAGTATTGCTACTTGGGTTTCATGAGTTTATTCCAAGCAAACTGTGTTTAAACATGTCTCTGTGGTCCGTGGATGGCTGCAAACAAGTTGTCTCAGAAATAAGCTTGTCTTAGTCTCATTAGCATGCCTACAAATAAAAAGTGGGAGGGGGATTTTTTTTTGTGAAATAGAAAACATAATTTTGAGGTCAGGACTAATATCAAATATGTTTTTTTTTTTTTTTGTAAAAAGCTCAGTGAACATCTTTCCAAATCATTGAATCTTTGCAACAAGTTTACAGAAGTGTTGTCTCAGAACAACAGTTTTGAGATGGAGAATGTATTCTAGGGATAGTTGGGAAGACCTCAATGAAGTCCTGGCGTGGCGCTGTAAGATACACACTGGACTGCTAACTACAAGGTTGATGGTTCAAACCCACCAGTTGCTTCTTAGAGACCCTATACAAGGTGGGTACGAGTCAAAATTGACTCGATGGCACTTAACACTGAAAAGAAAGGCCTCAAAGTTGAGTCAAGAGAGGAAGACTCAGGGAATAAAGAAACTGTGACTGAAACCCAAAAGCTAGTGGAAGAAGATCATATACTTACCATTGATGTGATAGCTACTGAAGTTAGGATCTCATATGGTTTGACATTTTCAATTTTAAGCAAATACCTTGGCCTCAGGAAACTTTCAGCTTGATGGGTGCCAAAAGCTCCTGCAAAGATCAGGAAGCTCAAAGAGCCATCTTTTCTTCAATCTTTTAAGTAAGATCAAAGCTAATAAAGACAACTTTATGGAACCAGTTAGAACCATGGACCAATCTTGGATTTCCCAATCTGATCCAGAGACCAAGGGCCATTCAGTATAGTGACTTCCAAGGGGATCTACAGGGTCAGTTAAATTCAACACAGAGGTCAGCTCGGGAGGTATGACAACTGTTTGTGTGTGTGTGTGTGTGTAGGTTTATTCCAAAGGGAAAATATTGCTAGATTTACTCAAGGACACAAGATGATCATGGGGGCTTATTATGAAGAGTTTTAAGAAAAATGAAAACTGTATTGGTGAGGAAAAGGCCAGGAAATTTGGGCCAATAATTTTTTTTCCCCATCACAATGATGCACCTGCTTATTCTGCAAGGGTTTTCCTCTGAGAATTGGATTAGGAAAACGTATCCATCCTTTCTACAGTCCTCATCTTGCCCCATTCAGACTTCTTTTATTCGCAAAACTCAAAGAATATTGAAAAGACTCAACCTGCCTGGAAGAGGCTCAAACTCTATTTTGGCAT